CCATAAAATAGCTTTGCTAGCAACTGTCCAAGCAATCGGACAGTAGCCTTAGAAAGGCCACAAGAAGAGGTCTTCAGTCGAGTGGTGTCATATGGTCTTCATTTAGAAGTATCACAAGAACATTACTTCTCACAGTATTTACAAATGAAAAACATATGGCTGTAACCTGTAATACTGCAAGAAATACTGCTCTTTGGGTTTGTTTTTGGCCTCAGACTTTTGAAATATGAACCAAGCAAAGGGATTTCAGCTTAATGCGTGATTCAGTCCATTTTTCTTCAGAGCTCAAAGTCTGGGGGACAGCTAAAGCTTGCATCTGAAAAAAGTGATTTGCCCACAACTATGGTAATGTACTATAGTTGGCAACCAGAGTAGCATGTATATCAAAAGGGTGTGGGGGTGGTTAATTAAAGACATCTACTTTCCATTTAATTAAAAAAAAAAAAGGGCGATATTAAATTGGCTTTGGCTCCTATAAAGAATTTTATAAGTCATATATAAGCCTCTTGCATTTACTATTTAGGTTCAATCAATATGGTTATCTACCTGTCAATTTTTCTTGCTCTTTAATGCAGAAAGAGAGCAGACTTTTTTATAGCTAGCTCAGAAAGTACTAAGCTAATCAATACATGCAGCGATAACAGAATGATTTGAAACACGTAACAGAAGCTTATCACTTTGCAGTATACTGAACACGTCAAAATATTTTCCTAGAAGTAAAGTGAAAATAGAAGTTCTCTTTTTTTTATTACTTAAGTGGGTGGTGACATAGATGTTGTAGGCCTTTTGGATTTCTTCCTAGCTTTGTATTTTGGGGAAAAATTGGTATATGAACATTTGCTACTTTGTAGGAACGTGAGGCCAATTTTGCAGTGAGATTTAAAAACTCTACCTTGAGAATCAAGCATTATCTTAATTGCCCTTGATTTCCCATCCCTAAACATTTATTGGAAATCCATGCATTGTTCTGGAGAACTGCACATAAGATTTTCCAGGAACGCATCTTCTTATGTTCCCACAGACCTTAACAACCTTTGCTTTACTCAGTACTCTCAGTAATACGTGTTCGAGCCCAATCTGAAAAGTACAGGCTTTCTTTCAGCTATCTCCTGCTGAGTTAGTCGATTTGAAATAATTTACAAGCGTCTGATTCCTAGAGGTTTAAATATACATACATGTATCAAGATGCTGGATTTTAATGCAGCAGAGAGAAGATCAGCTGTTACCGTGATCTCTAACCTCTACTTTTTTGAAGAGATGCATAGGATTTAACTATGCAGTTCTCTTTGAGAGCTAACAATCACCTGCTATCATAGAATTTAAGTAGGTGGAATTGTACATAATGCAAAAGCTCCTTGCAGTGTCCCAGGCTTGCCACAATTTAGCAAATGTTAAATGCAAGTTCAAAAATAATATATATATATATATATGTAAGTATGTATATAAATACAGGCTAAAGAGATGAGAGTTAATAAGAAAGGACCAGGAAATCATGTTTACAGCTTGAGGCTTTCTATAATTTTTTCTATCAGTTTTAGCTCCAGGGCCATTGTTATCAATTCTATGTCATGATATCTGGTGCATTTCTGCATGTCCCCCTGAAGTCACATGATGGCCATACGGCCTCCCAGTTCCAAAAGGTCTGCTTTACAATTTCTCAATCTCAGAGCCTGGCAAGCCAGGGTGCATTGGGTTTCGCTCAAGGCACCAAACACTACATTTTTTTTTTACCTTCACCCTTGGAAACTAATACTGGTAAGTAAAATGAAGAAGAAAGGTAAAAGAAATCAAGAGGATCGCAAAATCATACAGAAATCCTTACAGGACATAACTAAAAGCCTACAGAGGTTCTCCTGTTCCTATTTCTCTACCAGAAATGGCCACTCACAGTGCAGCCAGCTCTGAACCTACTGTGTGGGTGAGTCAGGGTCTGGAAATTACACAACAGCATCCACTCAGGGGCAAGGATTAGTCCACGGGTGCAGAAGTGCTGCTAACACTACATCCTGACCCAGCCTGGTAAGTCTGTGTAAACTTACCGTGAATGTCTGCAAGCTCAAATCACTAAACCACAATCCATTGCACAGTGGAGACACGCCAGCAGCAAGGCATTAACAACGTTGTCCACTCCAGAGGAGCTGAAAGATGGATGGGCATCTCTGAGGGCAGAATTGGGCCCAGCAAACGAGCAAAGATTCTCAGAGCAACACCTCAAGTGACACAAATTATGTTATAAAATTGATCACTTCCTTACACATGGCAGAATGCTTCCAGGGCACTCAACATCCTATTCCATTAAGCCATGATAAATGAGACCATATTTCCACATCAGTCTGAACTCATCTTTTAAATCTGCTTGTTCAAATATTTGGTTACTTATTCCCCTCCCCCTCCTTAAGATAGTAAAATTGTCCTTTTCTTTTCCAACTTTGCACGTTTTAAGAGATGCCATTATTGCAGAACCATCACCTAGGAATTTTATTTCTTCATGGAATTCCTCATCTTAAGAGCACGCAAAATTTTGAGAGAAATCAACTGAAAAACTTTTGGTATGCAATCTCTATGAGTACACTCAGCAATCTGAAAAAATGGACTCAAAGATATAGAAGAGCCACAGAACAAATCATGGAGAAATGCCTCCAAAAAGTAAATCTCCTACTGCTAGTTTGAAGAAGATCGCGGCCACCACCTGGAACAGTGTTAGGATGGAAACCCATGGAGCAGGAGCAAAATCGTTTCAAGCAGATCACTGTGGCTCGAGGTGGCTAGGGAAGGTTCGTAAATTGATAAGCACCACCGAAGGATCATAAGCCTCCACATCAACTGTATAAAGATTACAACAGAGCCACTCGCTGCAGTCATTCTGGAAAGGTTATGGGTTTCACAGGTGTGCACTGTCAGTTCTGATTAAGCTTAAACTAAACCAGTTATCTATAACATTGGATTGGAAGGAGTTTTATTGCTGAACGCAGGGTAAATCAAATTCAGGATACACATCTGTGGAAAAACACAGAGGGCCAAAGTTCACAGTCCTGACACAGGCGAAAAAAAAATCCAAACCTCCAGACTCAGGAGGAGATTTGCCTGTAAAAGATCCACCAGTCTGGCTATCGTCATATGTTCTGTATCGGAAAGGAAAGTTATTCGTCACCTGAACACAGCGTTGGGTTTTCTTTTCCTCTTCAAATTATTGTTCGCTCTTATTATGCAGACTGTTTTAAGATTATTATCTGCATTCATTTCTAAAGTGCCTAGAGTTTTAGCATTTATTTGATCATAAATGAAATTAATTATACACCTATACTTTTCACTACACAGGACGTAAACTAAAGCAGCTATAGCAACAAATTCACAATGCAATTTTTCATTTGTGTGACCAGGAATCTTTCCAAAAAAAACAGTTCACATCAGAGGTTCTTAGAGCTACACAAGAAGACTGTGGATGAAATCCTGTACCCAAAAAACATTGCTAACAACTCAACTGATTTCAACAGTGCAAGGATTTCACTCAACAATTAAATAAAGAAAAAAATGCATTCTTAATAGTTGATACAAGTTGCAAAAGGTACATTCTGTTTCCAAAAATACTTCATATTAATGCTGCACTTTAAAGTACCTCTATTGATTCATAGTGCTAATAGATGGCAAAAGTGAAAAAACATATTTGCTTTTGCAACATCATTATTTCCTTTGCGTGCAATTATTTACTTGCCAAACAATGCTAAGGACAAATCGCAACAGACTATGAAGCCATCTACATCAGCAGATTTTTAACCTAAGGTAAAAATAAACAGAAACATCTGTAAAGTAATCTTGTACAAAGCTACGTTTATTAACAAATACATTTTCTAATAAAACACCATCTGCAAGCAACCCTCAGCTTCCACTTGATATAAATAGGCCTTTTACTGTTTTCAGATGCAGTTCCCAGAAAATTATTCCAAGCTCTACTGCAAAACACATCAGTCTTTGTTGCTGCTTGGAATGTTAATAAATAACATCAAGTTTTTAAATAGTCAAACAAATTATTGGCTTGAAACAATTATTCCAATAGAAAAAGCTGACCTTTTGCAATAAAGTGGTTTAAGAGTGCATCGTTCCTCATTCCTAGTATAAAAATATTACCAAGCAGGGAAATACTTTGGAGAAAACAGAAAGCTATGAAAAACTCATATTGCAATTCTGCTCATACGTACACTATAAACCTACCTTGCAAAGGTTACTGCTTTAGAGAAACTCAGAATAAGAGAAAAAGTATACAGAGTAGAAATAGTTCAATTGGTATCCTTATTATACATCTGTGCTTGGAATGGACACAAATATGAACCAACTAAAATGTTCCTCACAGGACTACTGTACTGACCAGCAATACAAAATTCAACAGCTTAAACTTTTGGTAGCAGAGACTGGGACTGAATCCCAATATTAAGAGCTCTTCAAAACGCAGAAAAGCTTTAATGGGACACATTTTCGTAAGCGTTGCTCAGAATTTAAGCCACATTAATTCCATTAAAAGCAACAGGAATTTAGCAAACTCTGCAAATAAACTCCTTACTGGTAGAACTATTTAGTACCACTGAAATTTGAACACTTCCATTTTTCCTTAGTTTAGAACAGCAATCTTTCTATCAAATTAGCTCCTAACTGAAAATGCAAGAGTGAAAATTGCAGATAAACTGAGATATTAGAGTTCTCTGTCCAGAATTCTAGCTGGTATAAATATATTACAGCTATTACATCCAACAGAGATCTAGCTTTTTAATATTCATCAGAAACAAGTATTCCAAAGTTAGTATTCCAAACTGTGCTTTTAAAACTTCATTAAATATTGCTACTGGGACTATCACAACAAACTTTGCCAAAAGTAGTCATGCACATTCTAGAAAACAGGAATGTTTTAGACCATAATCCCAGGAAATGGAGCTGCGTATTTCCAGAGGAAAATATTCAGTGCATGACATACTCAAGCAGTAAAAGAGAAGATATTTTAAACTACTTACTTCAGTAACAGGAGGAATGTTGAGCTTTGGTACTTTGTTCTTCGAACTAGGTGTGTTCACTTTTCCTTCCAGCAGCGTTCCAAAGGATTGATTTCCATATCCACTCTCAATTTCTATCGGAGGTTTCAGTTCAGGTGAGTCATTAGGTACCTGGTCCTGACCGTCCATAGGCCTGACATATGCTGTAGGCTTTTGCTGGACCATACTGTTTTTACAGTGAAGTCCTGGTGGGAAATTCTGGGTCGAAAGACCATTGTTCGCAGATAGCAAAGATGTGGAAGGAAGCGGAGATCCAGGACCATGACCTACAAACTCAAGCTCTGTGGGTGACTTTGAATGACTGTTTTCTTTATAATTATGTTCTCCAGCTGCTGATTTTGAATGAGTATGCCTCCTTGAATGTGAAGATGCTGCCACAGAATTTGCTTCCTCAGTTCCTCCACTTTTATGCTGCTCACTCTGACAATTATAGAGGTCTTCATACCTGCCCTGTGGCTGGTCATGAGAAGAGCTATGTTTTGTTCGACTCTGTTGACTACTGGATTGGCTTGGCTGGGCCCCACTAGAGTTGTGACCACCACGTGACCAGTCTGTCCTCGACTTCCTGCTGCTCTGGTGACTGTGTAGTAGAGTAGAATTAGATGACAATGAAGAAGGTGGAGGCATCGATGTCGATGAGTGGCCGCTGATCTGATGAGATGGGATCATCCTGTTTCTTGGTTCTGGGAAAAAGTTCTGATCATTTTTGTCAATGGGTGTCTGCGGGACAGAATTCTTTGGGATTCCTACAAGGTGGCTCTGGTTGGAATGGTTGGTTAACAGGTCCTTCATCTCATCATAATTTCCCAATGTGTTCTGGACACGGTTTGCAAGGGCATCGCCTTTATTTGTCTAGAGTATCAAAAAATAAAGGAAAAGAGTGAGTAAATTCCTGATTACAAAGTTACTGCTCAGAATAGTTGTCTTAGAAGACGGCAAATGTTAGCTGTTTAATGGTGTCATGCTGACATTTAATTTAATTTCAATTACATTTTGCATATGTTATGTAAGAAAAACCTATCAATAACTGTGTTCAAAGAATCTCTTGAAACAGGCTTGCATGAGTAACACTTGTATACTGCTTCCCAGTTTCTTAAATATGCTCTCAGAGAAGTGTTTAAATTGCATCAGTTATGGATGTTAGGAGCAAAATAAGCTGGTTTTGTGTCAGAGATGTTCAGCTTGCTCATTTCATATCGTGAAAAACATGAACGTGCAATTACTGGCTACTGAGCATTTGAATTGCAATCACACAGTTTATTTAAGTATGTTATTGCTCCATCAGCCCCTTGACCCACAGCCCTGCCATAAATAGAAGCTTGGTAGTCTCTAATAAACATATAGTGCCAAACTCTTCACTCCACTGTAACTCCAATTATTTTTCTATAGAGGGTTCCGTTTGACCTGAGGTATCTACCATCTGAATCGAGAAAAGAAAAAGCTTCTACCCACCCAAATGCTACAGTAGCTTCAAATAAGAGATCATGCAAAAATACTTTCTTATAGAACATAAATAGACATGATTGCCACATTCTTAAGTATCGGGATTCTTCCATTGTCTGCGGGCTGGTTGTATTTGTGAATCATGCTTTCCTTCGAATTCCAGTAATTATTAAATAAATACTGACTCATCTGTGTTTCACTGCTATTATACTTTTTCTTTTGAAGCATGAAGCGGGGGCTTTTGGTTCTTTTTCCTTTCACTTATAAAAAGCTGGACAAATAAACTGGAAGCTATAATTAATACGCAGCTAATTTCCTCTCCCTGTTCTAACTCACCCCACACAGACCCAAAGTACCAGCCTTCTTATTGACCTTTATGTTCCATTGAAATGACCAGCAAAGAACTAAAACACGTTATTCCCCATGCTTATTACTTTACAAGACTCAAAGGATAAAAACAAAGCAAAACTATAGTTCCTGTTCAAGCAGTTGGTTAACTTCTCCAGTCTGGAATTAAATGATGAAGTTTCAGTGTATGTAAGATACTTCAGGGTACAGCCAACTATACTTTTACTTATCTTTGGGATTATTTTTTTTTTCATTCAATACAGCAAGTAGTGTCACAGTCCAAAGACGCCTAATATCAGGCCATAAAGATGGGGAAAGGCAACACTATGAGCTCACGCTTGGTTAGAGAGTGTAGCAGTTCATGCTTCGGCAAGGGATCCCACCATGCCACTGATCCCATTTTCCTCAAGTATTAAGCAGAAGTTTGAGTGATGAAAAAAAATCCATGCATGGATTTCTCCTGAAATATCTGCTTATATTACCCACTGCTGAACTAGTCAGGAAGATGAGAAGAATATTGCAGAAAGATTTTTTTTTTTCTCCTTAGTACAGCACATGCCATAAAAAATGTGAAAAAGAAGATAATAAATGCAAATTTCCTTTTGCTTATTCTCAGGGATTGGAACATATATTACCGCTGCACTGAGGCAGTGATTTAAAAATTAACTGTTCAATGTGGTTCTCATCTATATACATTTTGCCAGTGCTCCTAACTGACACAGTTAATAATCCAAGTTGTGGAGAATCACGAATCACTTTTATTCACTGAGTCCCTAGGTTGGTCATTTTAGTGGCAAAAATTATATTCTAGCTAAGCCAAGAATAAGCTCTTTGTATATGAGCAGTCTCCTTCAACTGAGTCGCACAATGAGCTGTTTGGGCAGCAGCCAAAACCAGGCTCTCTCTGTTCAACCCCC